TATATTATATTAGCCAGTATTGGAATTATCATGATTGCATTTGTTGGTGAATCAAATTAGCTCGTTATTTCGGCATAATTTTTACCTCGTGTTTTTATTTAATTGTGGAAAATCTGTAGATGAAAGTGTATACTGTTTTAGGTAAAAAAATAAACCGAGGCATTTATTGTTACTGACAAAGTAGAGATTGTTCTTCTAAATTTGGTGTAAGTTTATTATTTTTATAATTGAATTTGTGAAAATTTTATCGATCCCGTAAAAATACGCTATTTTTGCTGCTCAATCGGTGAAATTGTATAAATGCTTATCGATCTTTCAGTGGATATTCTACCCCCACGCCAGTTAAATGTAGACTTTTTATTCTCGAGATACCTATTCACAATTTCTTACAGTAACTATTCAACGATTCCAAGTAATACAATTTTCTTTGTTTCAATCCGTGAATAAACTCTTCAGGTCAATCCAGCTTAATAAAACAGATTAAAATACATCAATATCTGGGTGGCTTTAATTTCGGTATAATATAATAATTATATTATATACGTACCTTTCCAATGAACGATTATTCCCTTATTTACACTCAAAGTCACTTAACTCCACCAATACAATATACGCAACGGCGTTAAAAGTCCAACTTGTAACACACAAACTTACTTAATTTTCAAGCCGTGAAAACACTAGATTTTAATTAATAATGTACCTTTTTTTGATTTAATTTTAATAATAAATATACATTTTTACGTATAAAAGCGTTTCCGCGTTAGGAAAATTACCATTAGGGTGTACCATCTCAAAATATCAATACCATTATCATCTTGAAATTTTCAATGCTCGCATTAGCGGTAATGTACGAGTGGTATTTAATTCAAGGTAATATTTGCAATTTAAATTTCGTTTACAAATATAAGCAATTTCAATTTTGATGGGCAATCGTATAGGGGATAAAATATTACGTACCCATTACCCATACCATACCAATCCAATAATTAACATTGATGAAAAAAAAAAAAAAAGAAACTCTACAAACAGATTTAATTTTCATCGATCACCATGTACGGTCTTGTGCTCCAAATTGCCGGGTATATATACTATCTCTTGTACATTACACCCTCGGCCCACTTCTTGATACCCGTGACGCTCCCAACGAGCTTTTACCCGCGTATTACCGAGTCCCCAAACATCAAAAATGTTTTCCATTCCCCCTGAGTCACGGAGGGGAAAAAAAAGCATGTCGAGCAATTTAGTTTCCGGCCGAAAAATTCGTCAGCCCTCGAACTCATCGAATTCCCCAGCATTGAAAAAATAAAATAATCGAGTAAAGTGACGCCAATGTGACGCGGCTGTCGGAGAAGGCCGAGGGGGGGGGGAGGGGGAGGCAGTGACAAATTGGCCAGAAGTGACTCCCACGTCATGCCAGTGCGGCGCGCAGTTGACAGCGATCTGTGCAAATTGGATAATCGTTCGCTGAAGGGGGTAGTATATACGGAAGGAGGAGGACGCGGGCGGCGGGTCATTGGACAATAGCTTGCGGACACACACACATGTACGTGTCACGAGAGCATAGAGTACCAGAAACTTCGTTGCGCCAGCAGCGGAAATGCAATTATTTCACTCGTCATGGATATATATATATATATATATATATATATATATATATATACATCCAACGCGAGCGTGTACATCGCGTGATACGTGTAAAAGCTTTTTTGCGCGTGACGTTGTGTATACCGCACGGAAGAAGAATCGCATACACATATATATATGTCGAGGATGATAATATGCTGGGGGGTGGTGGTGGTGGTCGAGTGGAACGCGCGTGAAATTTACGCTGTCAGAGAGAGAGAGAGTAGGTATACCTATTCACATGTGTGTGTGGGCGATGGATTAATTGGATTTACACGTCAATCCGCGGAGTAGAGTGGATATATACCGACGTATACGTGTGCTGTTGTTGGCTTGCCCAAGAGGGATTACGCTCATAATAATTTTTTACCCCCTTTTCTGTATGGAGTGGCACATTACGTATACCTATAAGGTTAGCGTTTTGTTAAAACCAACCCTTTTTCCGTTTAGATGGTTTTTCGGGATTACGTGCTGATGGCGCGCTGTTCCGCTTGGAGTTTTTTTTTTTTTTTTTTGTCATTTTAATTGAAAAAAATGTTCATCCCCGTGCACGTGTGTGGTGAAAGTACCGTAAATTTTAAACGAGTATGATAGAGGGCACCAAAATTTTGACGATGAAAGCGACAGAGTTGAAAAGTGTAACTGTGATGATCAGAAACCCTCCGATGAGCCAAATGCCCGATAGCCGACGAATGACATTGTCGTAATGAAGCGCCAAGTTGGGGATAATCAAAACAAATGGAAATATAAAGTTCGGAGGACGCGCGCATGGAATACGCGATGGGCTACAATGAGCAAAGGGAAAAATAGGATTTGCCGGGCTGAATGTGTATGTGTGTGTGGGGGGTGGCCCTGGACCATCGCAGCGGCGCTTTCTGAATTCGCGTCAGCGTGCGGTCCGTGGATGGTTTTTTAATGAAGTCACGGTGCATTCGTTCTGCGACGGCAAAACTCGGGGATGCAACTCTTTCTTTTTTTTTTTTTTTTTTTTTTTTTTTTTTTCATCCCTCCAATTTTTTTTTTTTTTTTTTTTTCTTTTTCTCTCATCCATCCAATTTTTCTTTTTTTTTTGTGTACATTGTTAGCAGAGCTTTGTGACCAGGTGTACGAAAAGTGTAGGATTGTTTTTTAAATTATTCCTTTCTATGAAAAATATTTTAATATTTAATGCGTCAAAAAAAAAATGCAAAACAATAGATTGTGATCGATTGTGTGAATTATTGTGAAACGGGGAAAAAAGAGGGAGGGATTGAAAGCGCTCGAAACACGTGTAGCGTATGGACATTTTATAATCAGTCGGGGGTTGTCGACCCACTCGTGCCCAGCCGAAATAATAAAGGGCTTATATAGTCCCCGAGCTCGAGCGGTCGAGATATATACATCGATACACATATGTGTGCTGTTTCTGAGCGATTTCCGCCCGTATTTTCCATTATACTTGGGCTTGTTTTTTGTCATCACTTCGCCTACGGCCTCTTTTGTCGACACAACGGAGCCGGAAATTGTTTCCAACTTGCTCTCCGGTGCAATGCCCCGACGTGTATATACATACACACGCGCGCGCGTATGTGTTTTTGCCTGTTTTTTTTTTTCCACCAAACGTGCACATGTATGTGCGCACCCGCTTCTTTCTCTGGACTTTTCTCTCTGTCGTTTTTTTTTGTACTATTCCGGTTGTTACTCGCATATTTTTCAGGAGAGCGAGCAGTGAGATTTCCCGTCTGAAAGTTTTTTTCGAGCTCGACTGATCCCGAGATTTTTTTTTTTCAGGGCGACACGACTTGTTTACTGAGCGCGCGCGGGTCTCGCCATGTAAAAAAATTTTTTGGTTTTTAGCGCAAAATGATCTACATTTTTGGCAAACTTTTTTCAAGTGAAAAAGTTTGATTACAAAATAACAGCATTGCATAGTTTTATCGTTTTTCCAATTTATAAGTGGATCGATCGTTATTACTTCAGAGGGATTCAATTACGTCCCCATTAATTTCCCATACGTATACATGCGGCTATAATATGTACATGTGAGGTCAACGCGTGTATTTATTTTATATTGTTTAAATGATGTCGTTGCCTGTTTGATGATCGTCGTGTTATAATTAATTTTCACAATAACAATCATATTAACAGGGGAGGAGTCTATATGTATAGCAAAACTGAACCGTATAATTTAATCATAGATAACAGTCGCGATAACTGAGTTTTAAAAATAATAATGGGACGTTGATGAATAAAAATGACCAACCCAGTTGATGTTTATGAAAAAAGAAGCATAAAGATAAAATTAAATATAATGGATTTTTTTCATAAAATGAGTTTAAAAAAAGAAAAGTTTACCAAAGAAATTCAATTTTTCACATTTCCGATTCTCGACCTGTGTTGAGAAACATTGCATGTATTTCCCTCTAGAAAAAAATCCCATGTTTTCACCAAACACAATAAATAATGCATTCTCGCGAGTGGTGGTAATTTTTTTTTTTTTTTTTTTCTAAAAATAACATCCAAGAAACATGCGCCAGTGAGACTCAGGTGGTATCTCGCGAAATTGCTTCCTAAAAATACTTTCCACCGCGCATCGAGACTAAACAAAAAAAAAAATCGATACCCGAAAAAACTCGTAATCAATAAATAATGTAATCAATCGAACATTTCAATCGTACACCAAAATTTGCTTCATTTAAACATTGCTTCGAAGCACCAACTGCGTCGAAATTTCCTCAAAACTTGCCCACATCAGGCTAATTAGCACTTGACGAATAAGAAAGTAAATTCGAGACGTATACTTTCGACAAGCGCGTACCTAACGTATAAACGCACGTGATTTCTCAAAGGCAAAATCGATGAAGCCTCATCACCCTGCCAGACGTACGCCTTTCAAAAGTGTCAAAATTCAGGGGTGAAGTTCACCTCTTTGCAAATTTTCCGGCCCCATTACGTCCATTACACCCTCGAGTGTCGCCTCGACGACGCGAACTGCTTAAAGTTTCGCGTGTGTATATATATACAGATGTATACGGCTGAAAGCATCGCGACTCCCGAAAGTTGCGGGAACTTTGGCAAAAGTAATTCACCGGCATCGCGAATCAATAAATTCCAGCGGCGAAGCTCCGAATACACTCCCAAATGAATATGCAAGAGCACGGCGTAGGGTTGGTACGGGGCAGGGGGGGGGGAACCCTAAAACCACTCGAGGAGAGCGGCGGTATTTCCATAACTGCGAGCGATGCGAGCCAACAACCTCCCCGCGATTTGATTTATTCAGCAAAATCTCTCGCAGGAGAGAGAGAGAGAGAGCCCACGCATTGTAGGGCGGACGTGTGAGTGGGCGCGAGCAAGCGAGTGAAATCGAGGAAAGTCAGCGTCTTGTGATTTGATTGCAGGCGGGGCTCGCGATTCCGCCGAGTCGACGGAGATCGACGCGGGGAGGGATAAGCACAAGGTGATGGTGCTACTGCCACCGGCGCGGCGAAACATTTTCGACGAGTTCGGGGACGAGGACGACAGCAGCGACGAAGAATTCTCCATGCCTGGCATGTGGAACCCCTGGAACCCCTTCCCGGACATATTCACCAAGATGCAGGGTGAGTTGCTTTAATTTTTTACTTCTTTTTTGGAATAAATATTGGATTTCAACAAAAAGGGATTGGTGTGTATGAATATATACTTATACATTGGGGATGGAAAAACAACATCTATCAGGGAGTTTTCTTTTTACCCATCTTTTGATCGATTGATATTTTGTTTGTTACCAACGATAAACTACGCACTGCAGAGCATGTGTGTACAAGGCGATGAAAAAATTTCGGAATCAGAGCTCCTCCGCGAAAATAAAAGGATTTTAGGATCGCCAGGGTCCCGTGCCATACGGCGGTGAGAATACATGAAAATTCGAGCTCTTTCCTCCCTCGTATAGGTACATGAGGTGGTTTGCTCTTATCCACGCGCGCGCGCAACACACTCGGCTAGAAGGGCCACTGGGTGGTGGCTGAGCCAAGACTCGACGTCCCGTGACGGCACTGGGGTGGAAAGAAGGGCTTGTGTGCGCCAAAGGGTTCAAAGTACGACCAATGGTTATACCTATATATACAGACGGGTAAATTCGTACACACGCGAGGGTGAAAAGGACGATTGCTTTCGAGACGTGCCCGGAGTAGGCGGGTTTTTACTTTTGTTTTCTACTGGCGTGGCTGCTTCTTCTGTACTATTTTACCTGTATTGCTTTCGAGGGTCGCGCCCACGTGTTGGTACCTTACTACGCCCGATGGAGTCGGTGCGCGAAATTGGCTGCGGAGGAGGCTCCGGAACGACACGATGCTCGAGCTACCTCGGACCCCGTGCAATATTTCGACGAATTTCCTTCTTTTTCTTTTCCTTCGCTTTCGGTGCAACGAGAACTGTATTTGAAATTTTTGTGTTTTCGATTATTGAGCCAAGTTTTATTCCGTGCGGGTGTCCAACCTATTGGCCTTTCATTGGGATTTTTCACTTTGCATGAATAAAAAAAAAAAATAAAAAAAATAATACCAAAACGCATGTATTTTACTAACGAGAAAGGTGCCTGGCTTCTTAGTCACCGATGCACTTCGTCACGGTCACTTCACTCGAATATACGACGCGTCAGGGAACCCTATCTCAAAAAAAGGGACCATTTAAATCCATGGCCCAAAGTCCTGGCACCTTTCTCGTGGGATAAAATATATATATATACGTATATGTATTTCCCAACAAACTAATCGGAACACCCGGAAGTTCGTATCAAGACGGATTTACGTATACGGCCGTCAGAGGCATCGAAGGTGTTGCACGTCACGCACGCGTTACACCCGACACGGTGCAGGTACGGGAGAGGGGGGCGATATATCGCGACGCCGGGCATACATCTACGACAAGTCCGAGGCGCTGGTAAGTACACGGTGACGCGAGTCGGCGAATACAGTCATCGAAACGAAGATTAATACGCCAACGCCGGCGATCACTTGGAAATTAAGCACCGACGGGAATGATTTCTTTTCTTGCGCCTCGGATCTAATGGAAGAGAAATGAGTTTGAGCAAACATTTTTCGCGATATCAAGTTGGATGATTTTGTAACTTGCCCTTTCTTTTCATGGCGAACTCGAACGCGCGGTTTTCTAAAGACCATACGTACGCGGAGCTTAACTTTTCGGTTGAAAAATTTTTCTCGCCGATTCAGTAACGTTTCTTTCATGGGAGCATGGAAATGAATTAACTGCCCCTCGGCGCGAGCGAGTGGGAAATTGAAAGGGTTCGTTTTCTCGTGAAAGGAAAACTTCCAAAGACGCGAAAAATGGCATTTAGCGGTGTCGCGATCGGAGCGAGGGTCTACTTATTTGTTCGTGAAAAAAAAAAAAAAAAAAAAAATTCCGAGTATCGGAAACAAAGACTTCCCCCGTCCGATGGGAACAAAAAAAGGAAGAAAAAAACATCGAGGCCATTATCGTGCCCGGATTTCTTTTCCCCGCGCGATCTCGAAGGCCACCCCGAAAAAATGGGGCGACACCAGTTCCAGCGCCTTTAAGAGCGACATTTCGGTAATAGTCTCTTGGAGCAGTACACCGCACATATACACACACGTCGTGCGCCGTGTGTCGATAACCGTTTTCTCCAGGCGCCCAGCACAACTCTCGGGTGGCTGCACCTCTGGGTTCTTAAACGCGACGGATTTTTTTTTTTTTTTTCTTTTTTTTTGGTCCTCACCTCGCCCCGGTACTTAAGCGAGTTGCACGCGTAGACTCCATTTTTTTTGCGTGTGTGTTGCTGGAGACAGCGAGGACCTTTTTTCGGTAGCTAAGAGGGTTGTTGTTATCCGGAACTGTTTTGTGAGGTTTTTTCGCGATGCTTTTTTTTTTTTTTTTTTTTTTTTTTTTTTTTTTTTTTTTTTTTTTTNTACGTCGTTGGGGTCAGAGTTGCTATTATATTATTAACTTTCGGGCAATACTTTCCTTTCGGAAGCTATGTTTATGCATACTCTCGTACAATTGATTTTACTGAATATATATATATATCTCTGGACACGGCTATTACACGCGTCATACGAGCGTGTATCGCTGTGTGTAGGGTAAAACAGCATAGGGGGTGATTAGGCTGATATGGATTTGTTGCACCCACGAATGATTAAACGAGCAGCTAAATTCATGCCAAACGCAAGGGAGAAAAAAAAAAAAAAAAAAAAAAAAGGAGGAATGATGATAATGGTGACGTGGTGGTGGAAATATAACGTTTCAGCAAGAGTAATGTACAAGTTGGATCAGCTCAAGGGTTTTGCCCGCGGCGAGTTTGGTTTTCCAACTTTCTGCCCTCCTCGCTTGTATACACATATATACGTGTACCACTTAAGAGTGGCATATTTTCTAAAAGCACTTGAAACTTTGTAATCTTTTTCTAAATGTGTGCCAGAGCGGCTCCACTTCGCGCGCCCTTCCTCCCGGAAGATAAGTACAGTTCTGCGCTCGCGGGAGAGAAATTTTATTTGTCCCAAGCTTGCGAGTGCGGGGTGTATACACGCGGTAGCCAGCTAGCGCGTAAAAAAAAACAACACTTGCGCGTGACTTTAAGCTTTGGAGTAAAAAGTAAAGGCAAACAAAAGAACTTTTACCCACGCCGAGGATAAAATAAAAGAATAACCCTCAAAGTGAAGGATTTGGAAAGAAACATATGTCACGCGTGTAACTCATACGGTAAAAAGCCCGTGTGGACCCCCGGAGGGACTACATCACCCGGAATACCCTCGTCGCGGCTGCGGGACCGTTCGAATAGTCCGGTATTTTTTTCTCCAGCCCGCGCCTAATGGCAGGGAAATAATGCCCTCGCCCACCGAAATAAGAGGGATAGCCCCGTACACCCGGAGAGAGACAAAGTTTTGCGATAGCCGACAGAAGGGAAGGGGTCTTCGTCGTTCCCCCGCGGACGATTGAGCACAAATACACTTGCAAACTTTTGTACGCGCGTATAGTTTGTTATATATGTGTATATACCTGCGTATGGTAACGCGGAGAAAAGGGTCACCCGGATGTAATATACGAGTTCGTTGATCCGATGGAGAGGTATCGGGCCTCCCTCTGCCAAGTGAATTTCCCCCCCGTTAGTTTCTATGCCAACGAGGAGAGTCTGCGGGTGCGTAAGGGTATATACAGTCGATCTGTATAGGGCTGCGCGCAGGCGATATCGCGTTATTCTCTCATTGCTCGTGACGGGGGTGAAGTGTGTTTCGTTAGATAATAGGTACCGATTTTCATCAGGAATTTTGTACATACATATATTTTTTTTTTTTTTTTCACTTCTCAGTTTGTACCTTCATCGCCACGCGCATAACTCCCTTTTTTTTCTAAAAATAAACGTCCAACCCCTTTGACGAACAAGCCGGTGTGTTGCGCATCAAAAAATCATTTACAAGTTTACATGTGATCGATATCAGAGGGTCGGAGAGAAGCGGGCGCGTTAGTTGAATTCGCGGGAGGGCGCAGAGTGGCTGAACAAAAAAGAGCTCCAAGCTACACACAGAGAGGGGAAACGGGGGCAGGACCGCGGAGGCATTTAACTCGAGAGCCCGGAGCTCTTCTCTCGAATACGAAGGCCATCATCAGCCGAAGCGGGTCAGGCCGAAGGTTACGGGATCTCGAAACGCGCCTCATCGCGCGACCCCGTCACTTTCACTGCGCTTTTTATACACGTGCGTGTGCGCGTAGGTATTGTCGGTCACGCGATGAGGCGCGTTGAATTTAACGGGGCCTCCACTTACCCCCCGGCGAAAAAAAAAAAAAAAAAAAACGTTTTTTCCCACGTACACGGGTCACCCCGCCCTTGACGCTTCCTCGAGCACGTGTATACATTGTGATGTACGGACGCCGAGGGAAAATGGAAGAGCCAGCACACACGCGTGTATAAATATATCGCGCGTCGGAGGAGGGACAGTATAGCCTCCCTCTTCGTGTCGCGTTTGTGTAAAAATATATATCAACGCGCGGGGGGATTTTTTCTTTTCGCGAAAAACAGTGTTTTTCAGCTGTAACACGCTCCGCTGGCCTCTGCTGTACGAGGGGGATGAATTGGTTTTTTTTTTCTTTTCTTTTTTGCCTTGCACGCCGGCAGCGCCTCTCGTATCGCGCGAGATCTATTTATAACGCAAATGATACAAAGGGCCCAAGGAGCGGTAAACAAGGAAAAAAAGGGCCTTTGAAAATGATGTACGCATCCGAGCGGGAGCGAAGGGAAATTATCCACGGAGGTAATCTGAAATAAGTTTTTTTTTTGGGGGGGGGGAAGAGAGACGTCAAAAACTAATGTGACGCGGGTGCTCGCAACAACTTGGAGGAAGAAAAAACGGGACGCAAAGTCGATACGCCGAAAATTCCATGTCGCCGAGCGACATATGTGTACTCTCCTGCCGCAGGCGCCGCATAAATCGCACATCCCTCAAGACGGTTGTATCTCGCGGTGGGCGCGCGAGGGAGGTGGTTGGTAATTCCGAGCTTTGCGCGAAATATCCGTCAAATTCCGCGAAATACATGTAAATCCAACCTCACCGCTGACGTATATATGTATCAACGGGGGACTGTAAAAAAAAAAAAAAAAAAAAAAAAAAAAAAAAAAAAAGAGAAAGCTCCCTTCGTAGGTTGTATGTAAACGTGTAATCGAGTGTAGCACAGGAGGAGGGCATAAGGGCGTATGACGATGGATCACTCGGCGTTATAACGCCAATACAATCGGCATTGGCAATAAAACAGCGACGGTCTGGATTTATCGGTCCGCGTCCGTTTATGCGGTCCACCTATAGTCTCGCGTACACGTGTACAATACATACATACACATAGACGCCCCTCGCATAATTTATTATAGTACAGGTATATACGTATACGTACAGTAGGCGGACTCGTATCTGCCCAGCTGATGACTCTCTGGACACGGCTATTACACGCGTCATACGAGCGTGTATCGCTGTGTGTAGGAAGCACTTTGTGTGGCTTTTCGTATATATATATATGTGTGTGTACTTCCGGATGTCCATCAATTATCGCTTCTAATAGTCCCTCCAATTTTATAGATTGGGAGTGATGACGAATTATTTATTTCTTCAAAACGATGGTGGGCTCTTGAAACGTCAATTGACGAAACAGAAAAAAAAAAAAAAAAGAAGTCCATACATAGCCTGTGCGAAAGAAAAAAGACAAAATTATCGCGCGTCATGTGAATGAAAAAAAAAAATTGAACAGAGATACATGTATGTACACAGCGAAGCTGTCCCCCTTGCGTGCATGTATGCAAACACAGAGACAAATGTCAATGTACATACAAAAGCCACAGGGAAGGGTATGCCGATAACGTACACGAGAATTTCAATTTTTGCGGGACAATAGCGCGGAAGCGAGTATAGATACATATATGTACCTATACCTATACACACAAAGCGGTTCTCTTCGCTAAATAATGAACAGCCGGCAGATGTGCGCGCGAGAGGAGAATAGAGGAAAAAGGGTATGACGTATACACACAGCGTCTGCAGTTTCTCTCTTTCTTGATGTGTGCGAACTGCGTATATAGACAGAGCCTTCGATCCGATTATTGTTTCGAAGACGAGATAACTCCACTCCCTCCCCCCCCCCTCACACATTATCATCAGACTCCTTTGATCGTGTCTCTCCATCTCTCTCTTTTTTTTCATCGGATAATTCTTAATGTTTCGAGAGTTTGGTTCGAGCTCCTTTGCGGATGTAACTATAAACTCCGTGGTCGGTCTGTCGCGGGTGATTCGCAAAACATTTGACCAACACTTGTGACTTTATTTAAAAACACCATAAAAAATACGTGTAGACCAAAGTAATCGAGAGCAACAAATCATCTTTCATGGCAAAAAAAAAAAAAAAAAAATATGCACAGCATAGGGAAATTACCTCATGTCTCTGCACTAGGCATTGACCGTAAGGGTATACACGTATACACCTCGCGCCCCATAACACACTCGAAAGTCGTCGCATAAAGTGATCCGTCCCTTGTTATGTACGTGCGTCATACGAGCTAGCGAGCATTGTTCTCTCCCCCAATGCATCAGCGACGCCCTTACACCCCAAATCCACTTTACTCTCATTAGCTCTCCTTTTCGCTGTGTACTTCTTCTCTTTGCCGGTGTTTTCACTTTCCGCGCGTCGATGGGCCAGCCCTGGCTTTTCCACAACAAACATTCTCCTCCAATCAGCTTTTCCGTCCGATTTACCCTTTGTTTTTTCCCCTCGCCCTGTTTTTTTTTTGTTTTTTTTTTGTTTTTTTTTTTACTGTCGCGCAAGTGCGCGAAGGTTACGGCTTTAAAGTGCACCGACGGAAATATATATACGGGAGCGCGTTTAGTTTTCTATTTTTTTTTTCTTTTAAACCAACCACCCCTTCCTTGCGCCCGTGACCTTCGTCGTAACAATTTAGATGTTCGCGGCCTCTTTTCTAAATATTATCTTTCGCTCGCGTTACACGTATATACACGCGCGCTTTTCACGCATCGCGGAGTTCGGATTAGTTTAATTGGATTCGCGAATTTTGCATAAGTGAACGAATTACGCATCTAAACCTTTAAATTGAAAAGAAAACGAATACATGTATACGTAGATACAAACGGGGGTTGATTAAATGTCGGGGGGTGGCTGAATTATTCATCGGAACGAAAGTAAGTGGTACAAGGAAGAAAAAGAAAAAAGGGGGGGGGCGTGCCTATGTAACGTCCATATCTGATTCAACCCTCCCGTTGGTGCACTTGGAGACTTCTCTTCTGCTCGTCCCCATCAGCTTTGGCAAAACGAGCCATTACATCCGAATCCAATCAATTATACTATACTTTTTTTTTTTTTTTTTTTTTCAAGGGAGAGGGCACTTTCTCGAAGCCCTTTTCTCCACCCTCTCATCTCCCTTTTGTCTAATCCCTTAGACACTTGCATTGCCCATAAAAGAATCATCTTTATCTTGCCTTTGTTGTTTTTATTCATTTCGTTTTTTTGGTTATCCAACTGCACTTGAGCACTTTGTGTCAATTGAGTTTTTGTTTCACGCACTGCTCGCTGTTCTCAAATAAAAAAACCTAGAGAGATTGAATAAAAGAGCACGAGGAGTGTTAATTTGATATAAAAAAAAAAAAAAAAAAAAAAAAAAAAAAAATGCATATTTGCGTAGTTGGCATGTGTATTTGTATGAAAGTAAAAGTAAAAACGAACGAATAACACTGAAAGTGCTTTGGAATATTTGTATACTTTTTTTTTTCGTAATAACTAAATAACGTACGGTAGGAATAAAATGCAAACCCGAAGAAACGTTGTATTCTCAACATGAAGTATACACCAACGCTACTTGGCGCTCCCCAAACAGAAAGCTTTTAAGGGTGGAGAGGGGGTGGGTGAAGCAAAGCTCCGCATCCAACATTTAAAAACAAAGAGGGAATTAAAATAAAATCCAATAGAGTATAAAAGGGTACATATATATAACCATAAGCAATATCTCGGAAATGAAATTGAAATCGCCGTTGTGCGATCTGCGTTGTGTGCTTTACAGAGACCTTGAAACGAGTGAGGGCAGAGATGGCGGCGGCGCTCGCCTCCCAGCTCGAGCACGCGGGCGGACTGACGCCGTGGGGCAAAATCCCCGAGGGAGCAAACACTACGTCGACTACTAAGGTAAATATTATACGGCAAAGGAGTTTCGAGACTGCAGTACAATATATACACATAAATACATGCCACTTGATGGCTGTGTGTGTGTGTAATATCGTGCCTTCAACCGCGGTGTCGTTGTCGGGTCGTTGTTCAAGTATACACGTATATATTATACCTATACTCCCTGTTCTGACGTTAACTACTGTTGTTACTCTCCCCCTGATTCCTTATTTCTTGACTTTGTGTGTATTGTTGTTTCAGTTGCTAAATTGAGTTACCTCGAGTATAGATACACATACACACACCCATACCTATATCCACCTAACTATACGTCGTTGGGGTCAGAGTTGCTATTATATTATTAACTTTCGGGCAATACTTTCCTTTCGGAAGCTATGTTTATGCATACTCTCGTACAATTGATTTTACTGAATATATATATATATATATATNTCGGCCTGAGGGCGGGGGAGAGGAGAGCCGTCCGCCTCCGAGGGGCGCCGGTCGCGAGCCTACGCTGGATTCAATGCCACCACTGCCTCCCGAAGGAAAAGGAGGTGGTAAAAAATGTGGTGGCGGTGGCAGTGGCATTCCGCCGTACATGTAGGACGGCGGGGGTATCGGCCCACCGGCAAACATCAGAGGTGAGGCCGAATTCTCGCCGGGGCCACCTTGAAACAGCGGATGCACGACGCCTAATGCGTCGCCGTTTGCGGTCGCCAGATGCTGCAGGCCTGTTGGGAAAGCAAAGGGATACGAGCGTACAGTAAGCGGGAGCGCGTAATGTTTTACTTTCAAAAATTATTGGTTCTAGCTCATCTAAGATAAACTAGCTGTAAATCTGTTATAATTCCATCTATATTGGTAAATGTTATAGTTTTAAGAGTTTCAGACTGTTGGTTTTAGCATTTTAGTTCTGTTGAAGAATGTTTAAGTTATATTTTAGGTATAATATAATTGAGTGTAGTATTTCCATAAAAAATTATACAATATTGAGTTAATAATAAATTTGAATGAAATTTGTCGGTGTAAATACTTACGATGCAGTTTGTTTTCAGGATCGGTATCGTTTAAATTTTTTTCGACGAGTGTAAGTCGGTTGCGTAACTGACTCGATTCAGCCTTGACTTCTTCCAAGCGCCTTTCATGTTGTCTCGCGGCCACCTAATTACAAAATTAAAAATTACTAAAATACAATTTAAAACGGCAACAACTTAATTTCATTCTTTACAAACCCAATGCTCGTGTGCTTTTGTTTCAAGAACAGCTATCTGATTTTTGTACTCCCTCTCTTGATCTAGGATCTCATGTTTCAACATTTCCACTTGTTGTCTGTAGACGAAATTACAATATAAGAAAAAAGCATGAATTACAATGTGTAACTAAAGATCCTTACTTGTAATTAAGTAATTCGTTTTGCATTGTCTGTATCCTTTCTACTGTAGACGAATGCTCACCCTGCTTTTCTAGCCAAAGTGCTTCTTCCCTGAAAATAATTGCTTATAAAATTGTACATAACTTTGATACAAAAGTACAGAAACAGAAAGCAATACTTTTGCCGCTGAGCTTCTTTTTCTTCAAAGAACTTAGTCAACACCTCGAGCCGCGTCTCTGCATCTTTTTTCTCTTTTTCTGCTGCTTTGCAAAATCATTTAATTTTCGTCACATGTGTACTTTAAAATTATAAAATTGTAATGAAACCACTTGTGGCTTTATTCTCGTATTGAATACGTGTGTTTTACATGATAGTTTGTAGAAAAATAAAAATACATACACTCAAATATATTTTCAATATTTTATAAGTTAAGATACTCGTGACAATACCGCAATTAGTGCTTGTTATTGAGTCACGCATGTGAATACTGTTAGTGAGAGACAATAATCATCTACACTTATGGAAACATCAAATTTTAATGGTGTATATGTAACTGTACGACAATACTTTATTTTTCAATAAAACTGCTAACTTATTACCAGCTAAACCTACAACTCGATAATTTATTTGTAATAAATCTATAAATATCAATAAACATATCAGTAAATTGAGAATTGCGAACCACCATTGTCAAGGCCGTTTTTATAGTTATGAGTTATATTATGTAAGTACGAAGTAAAGAAAAAACAGTAGCATAAAATAATATCTATTGATTGTTATCTAATATCTCTATTGATTTTTTTCCAAAAAAAAGTAGTAAATTTTGTTAATTTTTACTAAAACTTTTTTTCTATCTACCAGGTATTTTCGTGCCGTTACTTTCTTCGAGATTTTAGTGATTTAAATTTTTCGTACGGATAACAAAGCGACAATAGTAAAATCATGAGATGATGACTAATTAGCTTGTGCAACAGAAATTCATCGTACAAACACATCTTTCTTTTTTTTAGTCGTATATGAATCTAGTTTGCATAAGTTTCTCAAAACGCTATATTAAGATTTAACGGGCTTCGCGCGTAAAATTATAATCATAAACAAAATTAGATAAAACTATGAGCGGTTGTCTGTAGATGGGCCATAAACTCCCCCCTAAATATCAGGCGGGGTAGTTGTAAGTTCAGGTAATGCCTTATTGCCTAAAGAAAATCAAATAAATCATGAATAAATTTGCACAACTGATTGTTTGTTATTGCTGGGGAAAAATTCAACAATACCATATATTCGAAATATATAAGCCAGGGTTATCGAAAAGATTAATTATATATTTTTTTCATCCATGCCACTCCGTAAACACACATAATTGTGGAGCGTATCATCAAGTTCGGCATTTTAAATTCTACAATTTTCAATTCTTATATCACTGAGCGACCCAATTCTTTGAATCAAAGAAAATTTCTTTACCCTCATTCCGTTAAATATTTTCTTATGAGTAAAAAAATATAAGTTAATTGAAAATAATATTTTATTAAATTATTTTTTTTAAATTTTCTTTTTTTAATTACGAATTTCTCATTTAGTCGTACAAATTGTTTTTTTGGATCGATTAAATTTGTTTCAATTAAAAGAAAATATTAAACGGAATGTGATCAAGTGATAGCTAAAATAAATTCTTAATTCGGAGAGATTTTTTCACAACATTGCGGTGCTGCCCCCCCCCCTATTCCTTAAGAAGCGCGAAGTTTTAAATCTATTTCCTCGATTCTTATAAAAACGAGATAATTCTTACTGAAATCAATGAATTTCAAATATTTAAATAACGTCTCGAATTGAATGTATGTAAAATCGTTGTTTCATAACCAAAAAACAAAAAAATTAACAAATTATGTCCAAAAAATTTGTATTTGACTAAAAAAACACTGCTTTGCAATCTCGCTGCAAATCTAAAGGTTAGGTTAAGATATCCAAGCAGAAAAAAAGAAAGGAATTCACACACGGCCTTATATATCTATGTATATACCTACGCGTGATGTGTTCGCGTGTCGCGAGTACGATTTTTACAATTTTACCATGCGGCTGTTGCATGAGCAAGAAAGAGACAACTGTCATGTGGACGTGTCTCAGAGCTGCAGTTGCTAGATCGCTACCGTTAACATAAACATCGAGTGAATTGGAGGCTGCTGCTGAGCCATCCCCGTAACCCTGTCAACAAACTGCCTCCAATTAGTCCGGTGGATCATCAGGAGAGCTGAGGGATGAGGATGCCGCGATGCCAGCACGTCGACGTCGTGTAGGCGAGTACCAGCCGCTAGAACCAGTAGCACCAGGTGTTTATTCAGACACTAACACCCGACGACACCCTAGGCAGGACGGCGACGAAAACAACGACAATGACAACGGCCTGAGCAACGCCACCACGAGCCGGACCATCCTACCACCGACCATGTCGTCGCGCGATCGCAGCAACGAGTTTACCAATGTCATCCGGAGCATACAGAGCAGAAACTCCCTCAGGGCCAGCCAGCCTGTGCACAGCTCGTCCACTGGGGCTGTGCCTAGGCAGCCCAAGCAACTCCAGAGCTATTCCAACTTCATGCTAGTTGCCAAAAGCATTGGCAAGAACATTGCCAGCACTTATGCCAAGCTTGAAAAGCTTGCTTTGTGTAAGATCATTTGCTGTGATTTATTTTGCTTTTCTTTTCCAAGGGGGGACTAGTGCTTTTTGTGCTCTTTTTTTCTGTGTTTTAGTATAGGTACTTCTTTTTTTGTTTTAAGTAAGTTACGGCATGGCTGCTTTTCCATTGTGATTGTAGTTTGCCTAGTGTATCTTGTAAAAAGTGTATGATGATTTTCTGTTGATTTTCTTTTTCTTCAAATTTTCTTTTAACTTTATTGTATTAATCGTACAGTTTTATGGACTGCTGTGTATTTTTGATGATAAAAACTTGTATTTAAAATAGTTACAATCTTAAATAATACAGATATATTGTTACTCAAGTCCCATATGGCTTTAACGACTAGGCTCTATTTTCGCATTATTGGCCCATTTACTGCATTAAATTAAAAACTGCAGTTGTTATAATTTAATATGTTATTAATGGATATGTAATAATGTACATGTTACAATTATTTTAGTGGCCAAAAAGAAATCTATTTTTGATGACAGGCAAATGGAAATTGAAGAACTGACAACAATAATAAAAACAGACCTAAGTAGTTTAAATCAACAAATTGCCAAATTACAAGATCTAGGTAGAAAACAGCGTGAAATATTTAGCTCTCAAAAGGGTCATCATATTGCATCACATTCCTCATCTGTTGTTGTGGCCTTACAATCAAAACTTGCCAATATGTCTAATCACTTTAAAAGCGTTTTAGAAGTGCGTTCTGAGGTAAGTACTTGACACCATGATGTACAAGATAATAATTACGATTATCATTATTTACACACACTTTTTTTTTGCAGAAAATGAGGGAAGAGCAAAGTAGAAGAGAGCAGTATTCCCATGGACACGTTTCTACAATGTTACCCCCTAGTGTTTCTGGAAATCAAGGATCCTTACTACTTCAACAAGAGTCTAGTGCTTCCGTTAGTATAGATTTGGAACCAGCTATGGGACAATTGAGTTTGCAACAAGCTGTGTATGATGATACAGTAAGTTCGTAATTTATGGAGGAGTTTCCATTGCAATCTCGTTTGCATAAAAACATTACGATCTATAAATTTTACAGGACTCTTACATGCAAGCTCGAGCTGAAACTATGCAAAATATTGAATCTACCATAGTTGAATTAGGTGGAATATTTCAACAATTGGCGTATATGGTTAAAGAGCAAGAGGAAATGGTGGAAAGGTAAATTTTCATCTCTAAATTTGTTTTGTTGTTAACAACAACAAGGCTCTAGATTATAAATAATTTTCATTATTAAATGTCTTGTTTACAGGATAGATAGTAATATTGAGGATGCGGAAGTGAATGTGAGTGCCGCGCATGCCGAAATTTTAAAGTATTTCCAATCAGTAACTAACAATCGGTGGCTCATGATCAAGATTTTTGGGATTATAATATTTTTCTTCATATTCTTTATTGTTTTTATGGCATAAAAATCAAGAAGCTACATGTGTGTGCAAAAAGAATGAAAAAAGTCGGGATGAACGGGTGCATTTGTTCATCTTTTGTAAGAAACGTTTTTATCGACTACTAATGCACGTATGACATTAAAACTGGAATGACTGTTTTACTCGGGTGTGGTTTCGTAAGATATATTTATAAATATTCCTCGTCGCATTCCTTGACTCTTAGCACCAACCTAACTTTGTACTATACGAATTTGTATAAAATAGAATGAAGGATGTGCATCATGAAAAAATTGTATGATTCTCGATTTATTGTTATTTAAGAAAAAAGAATAGTGTTAATAATAAATTACAATTTATTTAAACTCGTTTTAAAATTATATTTAACAATTGTATTTTTTTTCTTCATATTTAAATGTATACATATGCATGTACATACATATACACACTTTTGTAAATATATAGATACAGTTTTATTGTAACATACATTCAACTATGGACAAGAAAAAATGTTTAATAATCGTTCCAACACAAATTTCATCACATTCTCTATACACTCATACAGAAATGCAACGTTGGAGAACTAATGGAACAGAGAACAGAATTCGACGGACAATCAACATATAATGCAAAGAAAGACTTTCATAACATTATTTAAACATGTAATCACAAAAAAACATTAGATATATATNGCGACCCCAGGAGCATTCCCCGTGTCATCACAAGCATCAAGATGGAAGAGGCGTTACGAGAAGCACCATGCAGACCTAGGATGACCAGACACGTTAAGAAGCATAAAATATAAAATTATTTAAAACAACTTGTCGCGCTATAAAATTAAAAATTGCTGATCCTACGGATACGAAAAATACATTAGAGTGGGTTAAGGATGACTTTTATGAACTTATAACTGTTATTGGGGAGGCTATTGCACGGATCTTCTATAACTAAACAGTGATTTTTCTTATAGAAAAAAATATGATGAATCTAACGGCATCCACACTTTTGTCCGTTATCGTGGAAAATTTCAAGATATTCGATTCCAAAGTTTGCTCAACTTAACATTACTCTTATGGAGTCGTACTTCGAGACGTTATATATTGGCTGTAATACAACTGTAACAGCGTGTTCTCTCAACAAAAATATAAATATTCTGATGACAAACTCCTTATCTTTCAGATTTTCTCTAGTAAAATGCAGGTTGTCGTAAAGAAAATCAAGATATTTGCGTTTGAAGTAAGTAGCTGCAAGAGCCCCTATGGTAAATGCATGTGAAAAAACGTGCTGCCGTCTGCTCCTTGGTGACTTTAACGTATCAGACTAATGTTTTGAGATTAGATATTGGCAAGACGCAAGAGCCTCCTTAAAAGAAATTACTCTTCTAGTAATTATCTTGTGGGGATTTTAGTGATAAATAACAGAGATAATCTACGTTTAGCTAAGACTCTAGTATGTGGTAAAGTTTTGATCACAAAAAATTGTTCAACTGGTTGGTCCTAACAGTGGAAAAAAAAAAAATTCGAAAATGAGCAAAAGTCAGAAGCTATTAAATAAATGCAAGAGTGTGATATTTAAATTAATAATGAACAAGAGTATAGGTATGTAGAATTCTCTAAATTTCAGCGATATTTTAAATAACACAACGTATGTATTCGGATATTTAAATGTAAGTCTTTTGGTGATGATAAAGCTTTTATATACGATGGTGCTGATAACGGAGCAGTATATTGTACATCATTTATAAACATGATGTATTATGATGACGTGGGGCATTCTAATTTAATTAAAATTTATTAATCGTAAGATCAATGTACTTTTAGGCAACGTAAAATAAAAAATACGAGGGCGTAGGCGAGCATGCTTGTAAATCGGTTTGCTCTGCATGCAACGGGTCACCAAATTGTAATAATGCCAACGATACGTTAAAAAACTCTTGTACTGATTGTAGGAGAGAGCTTTACGGGGATCTATGTTATAATAATCATAAGTTAAAAGACTCGTTTGCACGTAAAAAAATCATAAAAGAGTGACAAGAAGCATTTGCAATGTAGTTAAAATTTGTAATTTATGTAACAAGCTCATAAAGTTAGCTAAAGGTAATCATGATTGAGGAAAAAAATATTGCGAAGAGTGTAAAAGCATTCCTAAGTTTAACACGCTTTGCAGTTTGCAGTCTATAACGTTAGAGTATAACTTGAATACTAAAAAAAATTGTTCTATTTTTTAAGACTTTGAAATGCGTTAAGATAGAGATTTATAAGTATAAGCGATGTTAAAGAATATTTCCACACGATTTATCCCCTCTATGGTATTAAACAGCTTATTTTCAAGGGTGAGGAGTGCCTAAAAAGTTTTGTTGATTTTGCAGTGAGATTTTAAAGTAAGCCTTTTACTTCATTTATCTATGTAGTGCATAACTCTAAGGCTTTTAATAATCAATTTATATTAAAATATGTTGTACATAACAACACTTACGTATGAAATTGGCTGATTTACCTAAAACGTTAAGCCTTGCAGGAAATATAAGAAAAGAGTACTTTCGACATTTATTTTTTACGAGTGATAAAAATTTTAAAGGTCCATATCCAGATTGTCGTTTCTGCGTGCCAGATTCTATGAACACCCGCAATCGTGCAGAGTTTTTGAAATGGTACGATAAAGTAACTTCAGATGTAAGCGCACAGTTTGACTTTAAAAAAAACTTGTTAAGTATTGTGTGCCAGAAGTTCAAATATTATGTGAAACTTGCCCAGCTTTTCAAAAATTTTTATGCAAGTCGAAATACTAGATCCGTTTGTTGAAATCGTGACAATAGCAAGTGCATATTCCGTACTATACCGAAAAAACTTTTAAGAAAAAGATACAATCAGGGTTATTCCTGCCAGGTATACTCACGTAGAAGGATTTTCTAAAAAATGCACCCACTGGCTTTTGTAGGAAAAAAAAGGAATATAGAAATCATCCATGCAGATAAATCACGGTGATATCGTTTAATAAAAGGTCCTCTCATGGAAAATAATTTAAAAAATTGTTTAATGATTTTTTATAATGTATTTTGCAGTTTTATATCATTTTCTTGGCTTAGTATTGTTACGTAGGGAAGATGTTAGTGAGGAGGTGCTTCGTGAGAATGATCAACAATTGATTATATCAAGAGCTTTATTCAATCACCGAAATTAAAGGCAAAGTAGCGCGTGTACTTGGTCTCTAAGGCTCGTCGTGTACCCCTAATTCCCAAATCCGCGAATGCCCGACTGCTCGACTCCTTGACTCTCTGACTGGTTGACTGCCCGAGTGCCGCCTGAGTCCCCGAATGCCGCCTGAGTGCCGCGATTTGAGGCTCGCTGGACCTTATATTAGCTTGTTCCCCACCTGTCGATGCCTTCTTGATAAAGAAGCCTCGCTGTTACTAGGGAGAGTCAGTATGATATGCTCATCCCTCCCCCCCCCTTTTTTTAAGTTGAACCCAAGGGGGAAGAAAATTTTTTTTTTTTTTTTTTTTTTTTTTTTTTTTTTTTTTTTTTTTTTCTCCTTTCTATTTATACATGCATTTTACACGGCTGAAACAGCTTTTACAAAAATTTTAAAGCTTTTTTTACATCAAAGTGAGATTATTACACTGCCGATATACAAATAAACGCGATGAACCAAATGTTTTGTAATGTCCATTNCAATCAACATATAATGCAAAGAAAGACTTTCATAACATTATTTAAACATGTAATCACAAAAAAACATTAGATATATATTTTTTTTTTAAATAGTCAAAATAATGTGAAAAAAATAATCATTACACCTCTCGTCATTTATCATCGTATGTTACAAATATTCGTGATTAAGTTCATTTATCTATCCGTATTTTTCAAGTCTACCACAACGTAAGCGTTCCCGAGAACGCTACGCGTACATGGGACCTTGGCCAGAGCACAACTACTAGCATTGTGTCGTCTGGCGAGGCTCTTTTCGCATAGTTAAAAATATGTTTTTTTATGTGTATGTGTGTAAGTATATAAACAGTGTCTGAGCTCGAAAACGTTGGCTTTAAAAAATTGAAGTATCCCTAAACTTTTCCACCATAAGATTTGTCCAACGATTCTCCGGAAGAATGTAAGGAACCTGAGAAAACCAAAAAAGTTACATGATTAAATCTCCAAAAAATCGCAATTTACATAATCAGAGCGGTAGTGCGAGCTAGCAATTGTTAAAAGCACCAAAAAATCCATCCATTAATACACTTATAAGCAAATAAATACGTGCATTGCATACATCTTACACAAAAGAATGTAATTATAGTATGCACTAAAATTACCATCCAAGTCAATTCACTAATAAATTACATTATTAAAGTTTTTTTTTTCTAACAAAAAATAAATAATTAAATAACGATCCAAAAAAAATGAACGTTACCAGGAAACACAATGAGCTCAAGAAAACTAATGATATAAAGATCAAAAAATTCTTATACCTTAATATTCATGATTACTAGCTAAAAACAAAACACAAAATCTGTCAACCTGACAGGTTTACTGAATCACTTATTGGGATTATTTCCCTCCATCGTGCTCCAAAATTGTCGGACTTTTGAAAAACGTTTGCGTCCTTGCAAGCACAGTAGGGAACATATAGAGAAAAAAAACAGGAAAAATAATAGAAAAAAGAGTAAAGAGGCCCATCGGCTGCTGTTGTTACGTGAAAACATGCTTCGTGAAGTTAGTTTTTTTTTTTTTTTTTTTCGTTGCCCTATATGATTCTTCGCTGCGGTTACGATCCCTGTGTATCAACGAGCACTCTTTAACAGGACCAAAAACGTAGTGAAGCTTAAACGATCCTTACCGATCTTTTGGGTCTTAGATATATAGGTATTATCAACTTGTGAAAAATAACTTACATCTGAAGGATATTTCGATATTATTCGCGCAATTTAGTCCAAACGATCTTTGCCGATCATTTCAAAACAACTTCCATTCCGATACTCTTTACTCGCGCTCCACCGCAAATGTACTCGCATCTTTCGCACGGACCCCAAAAAAACAAAGCTCGGCTTTATCAAAAGGGGTCTCCACCCACGTAGCATCATCGCACCGCGAGTACGAGGGCAAAACACGTTTTTAATCAGTTTTTCATTAGCCAGGGCGTGCGCGCCAGCCGCGTGAGATAAATAAGCGCGCGAGAGACGAAAGAACGAGTTCCGAGCACATCTCTCTCTTGGGCCTACTTCTCGATAACGATCTCGTCCCATTCTCGAAGCTATACGTGAACGCTGGACTACACGTGATTTCAATGGAGGTAAAAATGAGATATTAAAGTCATTGGGCTCCAATTGCGTTGAATCACTGCCCGTAAATTTTTTTTTTTTTTTTCATGCAAAATGTAAGAATCAACGCATTTTACCCTGTGAAAATTTGACAATGCCAGTTATTTTTGGCTTTTTTTTCCATGCATTTCTCCGGAAACGTAATGTATGGTGCCAAAATGGGCTGCACCGCCGAGTTCTTGGCGCAGTTTCCATACCGATACGTGCAAAGATATATACATTCTAAATCGTTCTTTGTTCTTTATTTTCCCTTTTTCAAGCAAGTCAATGGCGCAATGCTGCGTAACGTGACTTCGTATCGGTACAATGCACGGGGACCATACAGTCACTCGTAATGCGTTGAGTGTACCTTTTTTTTTGCGTATTGCTATCGGTAAGTAAGTACCGCGTTATCGTAATTAAGATCAACCACAATACGCGTAGTGTTGAGGGTATGCACGTTGATTTGATGATTTCGTAAGGGAATTATTTACATAAGCTCGAATTAATCAGATGTATCGGCTGAGATCGGTCGAAACTGTGACAATGGCACTACGCGAAAAGAACACAGGGTGTTCTTAAAACCCGTGCCTTTCTTCATAGGTGGACGCATTTGTGGGTGTTGTTGTATGTGCATGTATCAACCAACGTGTATAACGTGGAACACGTGCACGAGAATAAAAATGAGAGAGAGAACGAAATTGCGTGAGAGTGGCGCTGAAAAGGGGTACCGCATGAAGCCAAGCCGCCGAGCAAAGATCTCAGTGTATATATACCTATATACGCAAAAGTGCAGATACAATCTCATTGCGCAACATATCCATTGCAGCTCCACCGTCTCTTTCCACAACTGAATCATGCGTGTGAATCCAAGTGCGTTCGAGAGCCATGTATATTCGCGGGATTGTATAAATAATTCTAAATATGGCAATGAGCAGCCAAAGAGCACGTCGTATGGTGATCACGAAGGTGTTTGAATACTCATTGATCGCCTTAAACTGTTCGCTATTATTATTGCCACTGTGATGTACGGGTGCCTTGAAATCGTGAAGAAGGTGGTTTTGAAAAATAAATAATTCGAAATGACTTTTTTGAGGATTATCGATAGGGGCAGGAAAAGTTGTTTAACACATATCTACAGCAGTGCTGTTTTTTGATAGCAAAAAAGAAACGTCACGACTAAGATGAGTAAGTGCTCCCTTTCGATTGAGTGCAATAACAAACTGGTTGATCTAAACCCTCGTGTTACTTCGTTGACTGTATCAAAATCACTTTATATCGAATCTAATTTCAATAATATAACTTAGCTTCCAAAAGTGAAAAATCATCCAATAGATAATATAATATTATATATCTTCAAAAGCTAGGAAACCGATAAATAGATGGATTCGTTTTCATGTAATCTCTTCAGATCCAATAATCTCGACACTTGAGGATTTCAAAACAAGGGCCCTCAGTTTTCTCTTATAACCTGGAATAGATGATTGAGTTTCCAGAACGTAATGTATAGTTGTGTTTTATTAGAAAAGGGAAGGATTAACAATCTTAGAGTTTTCCAGCTCTGAGAAAAAACATTGGTGTGCTGAGTTATTGGGTCACAAAGAAACTATCATATATTATAAGATTGTTTTGCACTCCTAGGAAAAAACTTGTAGATGATGGGTGAATTAGTACAGTTTAATCGTGAAGGCCCATGACACCTAGAAGAAATCTAATCAAAGTCCATAGTGCAATTTTTTGCTGATCACTACTACAATTAAAAATTTATCATTTGCATCAGCAACGACACAAATATTCTGAATCATTAAAAAAATCATAAATTTTCCGCAGATTTGTTGATAAACATTGAAACGAAAACAGTGGTCGTGTTCTACTTTTTTTTCATAAAAACGAATTTTCCAATAGTACGTTACTCCCATAATAATATGCCGTATATTTTGTCACCTGCCACGATCGCGCTGTCAACAGTTCTATAATTACCTGCCAGGCCCGTCCGCTGTTGTGCGCCAAACGACCGAGTAGGAGCAAAACGTCCGATGTCTAGAATCTTGCGGTGTCGTTACGAGCTCAGGGTTGACATTATTCTCTGCGGAGCTTAACATTTTTAACGCCAACTGTTAAAACAAGATCGGGACAGAAATTGCCATCCACGCGAGCTTATCAAGTGCGCGCATTATGGGCAATTATCCGGTAGCTAAGTGACGCTTTCGTAATCCATCGTACAGCCAAGATTACCATTCGCTTACTTGTTGGAGGTTACTCATTTTTTTGCAAAAAAAAAAAAGAAGGAAAAAAAAACCATCGCAACTAATTTCCAAAGGGTCTTACATAAAGTTGCTAAACGTGTCATTCCCCGTGGAGTCGGCCGCGTGGCTGTGTTTTTCTCCCTTTCCCGCAATTATTGGCACGCCGGTATTCGATAATTGCCCACGGTAGAGCAAGGCCCCACGAGGGAGAAGGAGAAAAGCCACTTTAAAGGTGCGCACGAGAGAAAGAGCTGCGGGTACGTATAGCGGTTCGGGGCATTCCGAAACCACTGAGCGCGCAAACATACTCTCGCGCGGGTACCAAAATTTTTAAGTGGTAAATTGCCTTGCGAGGAGGAAAGGAGAACGGAGGGGGGTAGGGCTGGCTCGACACCTAACGCTGCCTTACAACTGCGGGGTAATTGAAATAAAAAGCCAAGAGGTTCGTAAAAGTGTATGTATACACGGGCGGGAGGATGATGTTAGGAATGAGTTGTGAAACGGGGCTACGAGATCTTTTCGTCCGCAAGATGTTGGAGAACCCAACTGTATCACATAATTTTTTATGGCGTGCTCTAGTAAACTGATTATTTTGCAACAAAAAAAAAAAAAAACATTCTTTAACGTTATCTTTCTTGGAAAGCTAAGAATGTAGTAGTGATCTTTTGTTTCGGCAATATATTAAAATTACCATTTTTTATGGAAACGCTTTCCTTAACATTTATGGCGTTTAACAAAATTTATTGTACGTAAATTATGTCAGGTAGAGATAAATTTACTACAACCTTCATTCTGCCATTGGTTATTATGCTCATAATTACCGCGTAACACAGTCGCATAAATTTTTATTATTTGACGGCAAATATGTATTCCTTTTTCTGAGTTATTGCGTTATTGTAAATAGTATGTCCCAATGTGCTTACAAGTTCTACGTACTTCGAAATTTGAATGAAGACAGAGAAGAAATAACTAAGACAGAGAATTTCAAGTTTTATGCGAGGTTAAAGTTTTTGACTGTTTGAAAAAAAAAATGAAATCTTTGATTGATGATCATTACCTTGCGAATTACCATTGACTTCAGTAAAAAAATTACTTCTTCAAGAGGTTACAAAGTATAGTTCTGATAGAACTAATCACTTGGCCAATAAACATCCTTGACCTTTCACGGTTCATCTATAGGCCTCGGTATAACGTATTATTCAAAAAAGTCAAGTAACAGCGAAAATACTCAAGACGAGCAGTTTGCCTTGGTAACTTTGCGCGAATACGGCTCGATAAAATCATACTGTCGTGCACGTCACCGAGAGATTCTTATCCGCGTCGCGTTTCCCGTAAAACTTGTTTATGTACCCACTGGCTGTGGCTCGCTTGTCTCAAGCTTTTCAGCCTACGCGTGTCGAATAAAAGGGTAAGTCTGCGTTATCTTGAAAGATTTGGCGATAAATCTCTCGAAATGAGTCGTAACGATTCAATTACAAAGGTACACGGTGTTGTTATCGATTGACGAAATTTCATTCGATGTAGTGCCCATTCGTTTACCCGTGAAAGTTTGTTTTATGGATTTTTAATGAGCTCGCGCCTCGTTTCGCTCGTTGGTTTTTTCAGGACAGCCAAATGACTAGAATTTATTTAATCGCTCGTCAAAGAAATAAATCCCACTAACGATCAGAACTTGGTAATTACTGCGAGTAAAACATTGAGTGTATTTTTTCAATTATACGTGACTTAGAAAAAATTCAATCAACTTTTTTTCTATAGAACCTCGTAGATCTCAAAGTGAGATTTGATATTCGTCAAAAGCGTAGTTTCTAATGCGTTCGAACAAAAGTTTGAAAAGTAACATTATTACGGGGCACACTTTTTTGTTGGTAGGCCCATTATAATCTTAGGTCCGCAGCAAAATCAAGACACCGTTGGCTTCTCGTGTTTCGTGTGTATTATTATAAACGTCTTGCACCGGAAACGGTAGGTACGAGACCAAAGATGGAAGGGTGGCGAGATTCGAGACTCTGTGTGTGCGTATATTTAGTGTACCATACAAGAGTTGATGTGCCTCTGGGGAATTCGATTGTGTTGAAAACGCCTAAATAGAAATGTCAGATGAAACGATATTACGTTTCTCGGCGTCTCTAATTCAATGAAGTTTCTGATGAATCGTTCGTTAAGATTTTTTTACACCATTTGACTTGAAAATTATTTTACACCATTTTTTTAATGTAAAAAGATACTTTGCTCCATTATATTTTGTCACGAATATTCAAAAATTGAAATTTTCCAGTTAAAAATTTATAATAAACCTTATTCAGTTGAATAACAAATGAGTTTGAAAAAAATTTTTTTAATAAAACTAAGAGGAAAGATACTTTTTAATTCAAGTAATCAATAATCTGTTGTATGAAAAAAAATTTCACACGTTACTATCTAACAATGGTTGAGTAAAAATTAATTATTTTAAAAAAATCCAACAATAACTAAGTAAAAATAAAACGTAAAAGTTATTTAGTAAACAAAAAAAGATAAAATAAAGAAGTAAACTAGGGAGCGACGGGACGTGAGTTTCGCTCGTCTGCCCTACCCGTAATTACTGATCTCCACCTAATTGCAGTGGCCCCTTGTATACGGTAGCTTATTCATAGACTTGGAAATGCGCCTACTTCCGGGTTCTCTTGACGCTTCACTTGTATTTTCTGAGATTCTTGTTTTTTTTTTTTTTTTTTTTTTTTTTTTTTTTTTTTTTTTTTTTTTTTTTTTTTTT